GTTGTTTCTTTCTTCTGTGGAATACAAAAGAAGATATTTTGAAAATCATCTTAGTGTTTTATTATCCATACAATGAAAGTCAGTGGGGTTCGGTGTTGGTTGGCTAACAAGGTGCTAACCATATAACATGCTAAGACTTTATCTTTCTAAGCCATACAGAGAGCATCTATATTACTGTACATCCATTTGAATACCAGACGCAGCGATATTATGCAGGATTGGACATGCAGGTGGTGTGTAGTTTTCTGGAGCGCTTTAGAATGGGCTAACAGGAGGAAAAAAGAACCCCCGTGGTGGAAGATACTCCCTCAGTGCAGACGTGACACCCACACGTACGTTTCTGTGGCCGTTTAGCCCAGCGTGCGTGTGTGTGTGTGTGCCAGAGTTACATCACCATAAGGCCGTGCCATGCTGTGGCTCAGTGGCGGAGACACGGACGGCGAGGTCTGTACAGATGGAGACAGAAGGTTTCTGGTGAGGTGAGGTACAGAGAGAAAGAGAGATAAAAGTGTTTTTGTGCTGCTATAGCCTATTTATAAAGAAGAGGTAATTTTGTGGAATTATGGCTGATTTAGTGTGTATGCGAGTGGATTTGCATGCTTGTGTTTGCCCGTGTTTGTGCGTATGTGTGCGGGAGGCCGTTCCTTTGTGTAAAAGGTTTTGCCCTCTCAGAATATGTGATGTGGAGCTCAGGGAGGATAAAAACCGTCCTGCTCGATGCTGCCATCTAGCTGTGGCGGATGAAAGTCCTCTAGGGGCCTTTGAAATCACAGTTCGGAAGTAATGTGGAAGCCTGTGGCGCAGCACAATGACAAATGTCTCCAAATGCCACATTATGTTTCATTCAGCTCAGTTTTATGACATGCCATCACGTTCAGTTTTAATGTGCACAAGATCTCATTCCACATGTACGTCAGATTCACCCTGGGAATGTGAGGGCATTTCATGCATGTTCCCCTGTCGGGATGCAGAAATGGCATCTGTGGGTGAGAAACGCTCTCCAAATATCAATATCTAAATACTTTTAGAAAGCTCTTTTAAAAATTTGATTATCATGGCAATGTTTTTTTGTTTCTATTATAATATTTTCGTCTAAATATAATTATCTATATAATTATAGATAATATTCTAAGATTTAAGATTTTTTAATTTGTAAATAAGTCTTGGTGAATGTATGGACATTTAAAAATAATCACATATTAATAATATTTAAAATACGTATAAATCGTATTTTTAATAGAAAAACTTTTGATTAATTTTTTATTTGCATATTTAATGTTTTTTAAATTGTAAAGAACTTTGATGACTGTATGGGCATGTAAAAATCATCTCATATTAATAATATTTTAAGTAATGTTAAATAAATAATATTTTGAATAGAATAACTTTATGGTTAATTTTTGAATTAACATATTTAAACTTTTTTAATTCGTAAAAGAAAATGTTGATGATTGTGGCATGTAAAAATCAACACATTAATAATATTTTAATAATATTTAACAGCCTATAAATATAAATAATATTCTTAATAGAATAACTTTGATTCATTTTGAATTCACATATAGATTTTTTTATATACCTTTTAAAATATTTGAAATATAAATCATATTTTAATAGAATAACTTTTATAATAAAAATTATTAACATGATAAGCTTTTTTTCATTTAAAAAAAATATTCGATGACTGTATGTAAAAATCATCACATGAAATAAAAGAATAAGTTTATAATTAATTTTGAATTAATAATATATTTAAGCTTGCAAAAACTTACTAGCAGCTTTTTTTTTGTATTTCCCGTGTGTGTGTGTGTGTGTAAAAGAAATGCTTGTATGAGTGTGGTGAGATTCTGGTTGGGGAAACACAATTAGCACCCATAGCAGAGTCCATTTGTGCCGTTGGGAGGGAAACATTAAAATGTATGTGAGTAGAGGCCTGCTGGGATACAGTTTGTGTGTGTGTGTGTGTGTGTGTGTGTGTGTGTGTGTGTGTGTGTGTGTGTGTGTGTGTGTGTGTGTGTGTGTGTGTGTGTGTGTGTGTGTGTGTGTGTGTGTGTGTGTGTGTGTGTGTGTGTGTGTGTGTGTGTGTGTGTGTGTGTGTGTGTGTGTGTGTGTGTGTGGCTGTGACCTTGCTCTGCCCCCCGATCTATGTCTAAATCTCCCTCTCTCTCTTTTCACTATTCCCTCCGCCCTCACTATCAGCAGCCATGGTAAAATAAATAATGCATCAAAACACATTAAAAACATTAGCCAGGCTTTACTGCCAATAAAAGAGGAGGATGCTGGGGATGGAGAAAAATAAGGAGTGAGTGATCAGGTCTGAAAAAATGAAGTGAACTTTATGAAGTGAGAAACCCCGGAGCTGTTAATCTGGACCGGAGCCAGGACGCCACAGGTGCGCTGACCAGGTGCACTGTGGGTATTTTACATCGTAAACGAGCTACTGTGAGTCCAGTAAAATATGCAGTTGAAAGATGATTTTAATAAACATAATTGGTGGTTTAATTGGCATTGCAGGCTATTAAATTAGTTTATCATTAATATGCAAAAGCAAGGACGAGCACAGAAATGCACACGCAACTTTTATACTCTCTTTCAGAGGGCCTCCTTGCTTTCCTTTTCTCATTCATTCATTCATTCATTATCCTTCATTTCTTAAATGTACAATACTTTAATATTTTAGACATATTTAATAATGCTGGGCAATGGGGGGAAAACATTTATTAATTTAGTTTTTTTTTTTGGGGGGGGGGGAAACAATCAAATGTGACAGTAAAGACATTTATATTGTTAGAAAAGATTTTGCTTTTAAATAAATACATTTTGATCTTTTTATCAAATAATCCTGAAAAAAAATGAATCAGTTTCCACAAAAATATTAAACAGAACAGCTGGTATCATGATTCATAATAATAAGAAATGTTTCTTCAGCAGCATATGACACTAATGATGTTGAAAATTCAGCTTTGCCATCACAAAAATATATATTTGTCTGCTTATTGTTATCAAATGTTCACTTTTAATATTGTTAAGTGACGGGAAACAAAGCATTTATTAATTTAGCAGATACTTTTGTCCAAAGTAAGTTTAAAAATGAGGGGAAACACGACAAAGGAGTCAATAATATTAGCAATGAAGGCTATGTAAAAGCCCTGTGGAAAAACATTAACTACATTTTTTTTAACAAAATAGTAATAAAAACGACATTTATATTTTCATCATCACTGTTTTATTGAAAAATGAAAGGCCACAATGATAGAATAAAAAAATAATGAGCTAAACTGAATCGTGATCACATGGCTCGGTTGTCACAATCTGCCTTTTTTATTAAACCGAGTAAAATCGCAAAGTCATACAAGTGGATCGGGATCCGAGGAACATTTTATTTTGTGATTTGATTCATCTGACTTGTCCTGTACTGTACGGCGCCATTGTGCTTCCTCTATTTTTGGCTTTAGCAGCCAGAGACTTGTCCTTTTTGTTTCAATGCAGCAGACAGGAGTGAGAGGAGGCCCAGACGTGAAGCCCAGGGAGCTGCTCATTAAAAGTTACCCACTACGTCCCGACTCATTTTCAGCTAAAGTGGCGCGTGGAGCAGAGAGTGAGTAAACTGCTGCGGGTGAGCGATAGAGAAGTGGAGTCTGGGTCTTATTTTGGGGGGCAGAGCCCTGTGTCTCCCCAGAGAGCGCTGACGCCATGTATGGCCCATGCCAGGATCCGCCACAGTGCACGGGCCCGTTCCTCTCCTCTCCTCTCGTCTCCTTCCTGCTGGCAGCGTGACAATTGGCATTATTAAAAATTGATTGGCGCAGACCGTTCCATGGCTTACATGTATTATTGAGCCAGAGTCAGTCGGGATTGTGCCACGAGTGAAGGAAGCAGAACGAAACGCTTTATGATTGTGAACGTCTTTTAGTGAGACCTCACACACACAGATACACACATTTGCATCCCGTTGCCATTCATACACATAAACACAGACTTATGCAAATGTGCTTATATAAATGAGGTGTATTGTGCTGAGTGTAGCATGCGTTTCTTTTAATATTTTGTTCTTTATTGCTCTGTGTCTCTGACTTTTGCTGTTGGAAAGCAGTAAAAATCATAAGTCATGCTATGAAACATTTCCCTTTTCCATTTGCTAAGGTGATTTTTTTTTTTTTGTAAAGTAAAAGAATATATTTCTATGTAGTGAAAAGTTGAAATATATTTTGAGATATTCTGTGTTGGGAGGAACATTTCAAACCAATTGCTGCAGCTCACCTGTTATGGTGATTTCATGGCTTCCTTCTTCTTTTTCAAGCATTCAAACTACTTTTCTATAAATAAAAGTTGACAATAAATGAGATTTGCCAGGGTGGATATGTTATCCTTGAGAAATTGTGTCAAGCATGAAAGAACAACAATTTATGAATATTAAATGAGCTTGGAACTTTAGAACTTTGAACTTGGCTCCTCAAAACTCAAATGATGTCACTTCCTCTTCATTATGTCATTTTACAATGCATTATTTCGAGGCAAATGGTAATGGGAAAATCTAAATTCGCGGAAAGAAGAATTGTTGGTCAAATTAATTTTAATGAGAAATAAATGATCAATTATTAAAAAAAAACCTTTAATTTAAATTTGATTATTTTCATTATTATGGCAATATATTTTTGTAAAAAATATATATATTTTTACTTTTTTTCTATCATTTCAGTGACTATGGGTATGTAAAAACCATCACATGAAATAATCTTTTTAAAATAATAAGTTTATGATTCGTTTTGAATTAACATATTAAGCTCACAAAAAAACTTACTAGTAGCTTTTTGGATTTAGGGTATTTCATCCAATGTAATATGGACACAAATGATCCCACCACACTGATACTAACTGTGAACACTTCGCTAAAATAGTTTTGTGCTACAAATCTAATGTCTTCTCTTGTCTTTTCCCCTTCTTTCTGTCTGTCCTGTCTTTCCCCCCTCCCCCCTCGTTCTTCTCTTTGTGTTGCACAGATGAACAGGCCAATCCAGGTGAAGCCAGCTGACAGTGAGAGCAGGGGAGGTAGATTTCCACTCCTCTTTTTTCTTCTTCCTTTTCTATTTCTCTCCCCACCTTCCTGTCACACTACATCAGTGTCACCATTACTGGTAGATGTCCCCTTCTTAAGAGTCGCATATAATGACGCATCTCGATGAGACCTGACAGTCATACAAGGCCCCAGAGGATCTTGGGCCGGCCCTCACACGCATTGCATAAGTGTCGTCACTCCTTTTGTCGGATTGTTGCCCTCCACGGGGGTGCTGGGGAGAGACAGCTGTGAGAGTTTTAGACTTTTTGATGCACACACAGACACTTTTGCATAGACATGCACATGTAGGAAAGAGTAAAAAATGTCGACAGTTTGTTGAATTTTATGGTTCTTAAAAGTGTAAATGGAAAAACAAATATATGTTTTATCATATTTAATCTTAGTAATTTTATTTATGGCTCCTCAAAACTCAAATTATGTCATTTCCTCTTCTTTATGGCATTTAAAAGGAATTATTTTGAGACCACAAAATCTTTTTTTTTTTTTCTTTTTTTTTTTTTTGTGTGATGGGAAATACACATTCAGAGAGAGAATAATTATCGTTGTTAAAATTGATATAATAAGATATCAATTATCAGAAAACTATTTTTAATATAAATTTGATTATTTGATCATTTTGATTATCGTTGCAATGTATTTTTGTTAGTATTTTTCAATGACTGTGGGTATAGAAATATTATCACACGAAATAATGTTTTTAATAAAAATACATTAATAATAGAATACATTTATTTATACATTTAATGACTTCTTTGTTATATTATAGGTTCTTTATATCAAATGACTAGAACCAGAGACAATTTATATAGAGACATGCCACTTCCTCAATCCTCAATACAACTATATAGGGAAAACCCGTAACGCCAAAGATGGCGGTTGTATGCACATGCCCCGCCCCTCCTGCTGGAAAGCCAATCGTCTGCTTTTAACAGTCAAGCCGGGAAACATGTAAGCCTATCGTCTGGTTCCACTGACGCATGCGCACAGTTGAGGTTTGCGACAGTGGAGACGAGAACCCTTGCGCATGCGTAGTAAACGTATAACCTGTGGGGAAAAGGCCTTTTAAACCTTATTTTGGGGCAAAGTCATCAAACGTTTTCCGTGATTTTTATCATATTTTACTGCTGTTTTTATACAAGCAGTTTTTATGTCCTGGTGACCAGTGAAAGTGCAGTTCTGACTCTCTGCCCATTCATTTAGATAGGAGCCTGGTCTTGTTAGTCCGAAATAGCTGCCCGGAGGCGTTGCCAAGATGGCGGCCGAGTGGCATGACTTGCCTAAAAGGACTTTGCTAGAACTCATAAGAACATCATAAGAACTTAAAAAGGCTCTCCTATGACATCATAAGAACTTAAAAGGGCTCTGCTACGACATCATGATAACTTAAAAAGGTTCATCTATGAATTTATTAGAACTTAAAAAGGTTATCAAATGACATCATAAGAACTTAAAAAGGTTCTATGACATCATATATACACTGAAAAAATTGTGTATCATTTACTTTGAAACATTTTAATTTAGAAATTGCTAGTAAATTTCATAATTAATGTAATTTATGCATAAATAATTAAAAAAGCAATGTCAAGTAACATTAAATCAAATATGACATTTTGAAGTAGAAAGACTGAAATAGTATTTTCTTTTAAAACTTACTGAAAAAATCTTGGTTTTATTTACTTTGAAAAATATATTTCTTTTACAGTGTAAGAACTTTAAAAGGGTATCTTATGCCATAACAAGAACTTACATTTACCCTATGACATCATAAAAACCTTTAAAAAAAATTCCTATATCATATTTGCTTAAAATATTTATAGAATTTAAAATGTTCTGCTTTATGTCATCCCACTGTAAAGCATGTTCCCTATCAGTCGGTCACGCTCGACGTAACGTGGGTGTTACATACGTAACCGAGACGTTTTTTTTAAGCGTTTATTTTTAAGTGTGTGTGTGTGTTTGTGTTCATGGGAGTGTGAGATTGAGTTTCTGTGCATTGACTATGCATGTGTGTGTCTGTGCGTCACTTACAGACAGAGTGGAAGTAGTTTGGTAAGAGATAGCTCGTCTTTTCCTCCTTTTTGGGTCAGGTTTTCCAGATAACCAAGATTGATGGACCCGCAGAGAGAACGAGACATACACATAGAGGCACCTCTCCTTCCTTCAGTCTCTCCTTTCATTTCATGCCATGCGTTTCTTTCTCTAATTGAGAGTGTCTTCCTTTACTCACACTCGACAGATCAATTGTCTTCATGGTGATGGACAGCTGAATTTATCCCCCTGTTAGCCCTGTAAAAACGCAATATATGTCCCCGCAAAGCCCTCTGATTCCACTGGCAAAACTGATGTGCCGTCCCCGACCGATCCATTCACTAGTCATTTAAAGTGAAACGCCGGGATGGAGAGGGAGAGCTAAAGGTCAAAGTGGGAAAGACAAGGAAAGGAAGTGAGAGACAGAAAGAGAGTTAAAGAGAAGGCAGGAGTGGTCATAAGAGCGAAATAAGGATGGATATCAGAGAGAATGGAAGGAAACAGTTGGTGACACTGGTTAGAGACACTAAACGAAAGACTTGTTCTTCTAAACAAAATAGCTTTTTTCCACTATTATCTGGAAATGTGCACAGTGTGATTTACACGTAGGACATGTTTATTTAAATGAAAATCGAGCATCCCCACTAACAAAAAATATATTCTATGAATGTTTTGCTAACATTCCCATTGAAAACGTTATTTCTCAACAATCAAAATGTCCAGTTTTTAAAATCTTTTAAAAATGTTTTTATACAAATGTTAAGGGAACCTTCCATTTTATAATTCTGCAAACATTTTGGGAATGTTACTTTTGAATGTTCTATGAACAAATGCCCAGTTAAAGCATTTCAGAAAAAAAACATTACATTAATGCTTACATTTTGAGAACAATATTAAAGACCAGATCATTTTGAACAAACATTCTATTAACATTACTAAAAGAACGTTTGTTCAGAAGTTTTAGAGAACCTTGCCAGAACGTTAGCCAAAGTTCTGAGAATGTTCCCTATTAGCTGGGATAATCCAATGCTGTCTCACGAGTCACGACCAATTCAGAGTGAGTACGATTTGTCTAAACCGCAGTGATGGGTAGGTTTAGGAGCGGGGTCAGGGGTAGGTCATTCGTACGAATTCATACGAATTGGGCGTAAAATACGTGCGAATTGCCGTGAGATGTGTTTTTTTTTTTTTTTTTTAATACACATTTTGGGTATCAGACTGTTGGTTTCATTTATTGTCCAAGGGGAAGAAGGACTACAAAATATATCTATTTTTCTTTCTTTTTTCTTCAAATTCTGTCAAAGATATCACTCATCAGACCTCCACGATTGACTGATGAAATAACACAGCGTACCTTTAAATTGTAAAGAATTTAACGATCCATCTTTGTATGTCGAATATGAACGAATGTTCATTGTACAGTTTTCATGAGATGGCATTTTCAAGCCATTTCTCTAGTTATTTATTTTATTATTTAATAATAGGGATGCACGATATATCGGCCACCATATCGGTATCGGCATATGTTCATTTTTAATGTTATCGGCACAATAAGAAAAATTGGCCGATATATTAAAGCCGATAAATTATGGATTATTTCCTTCAGTTGAGACACTTCAGATGCGCACTGTTCGCCATGATGGATTTGAATTGCTTGAAATATGATTGGAATCTCTTAAAAAAAGGAAAAGATGGTTCAGTGCAACATGTCATATAGGCTATATAAAATTATAATGAGAACGTTATAATTGTGTGCTGGGGACATGGCTTTTAATGGTGAGACTTTTTTTGTAACCAGGTTAAAATCATATACAAATTTGGATTTAGATTTATCGGCCAATATATCGGTTATCGGTATCGGCCAAAACGTTCATATCGGTGCGACACTATTTAATACTTATTTGAGTTAAGTGCTTGTAGGCTAAACTTTTATTTTATTTATAAATATTTAGATTTATAAAATGCACACCTTTTATTTGTTATGTAGTGTGTGTGCTTGTCTCATTGCGCATATGCGCAGCGCACTTGTAAACATTCTGGACTGGAGATTAGTCTTGTTGACTGGGCAAGGGCACCCTGTCAGAGCATGTTAGTGAGCACCGGGCGTGGACAAACACATGAACACACACAATAGTGCTCATTAATATCTCTGCTGCACCATCCATCATACTTACACACACACACATTACACATACACTTTCATGTGTAATGATATAAGAATGTTTACCTATGCAAACCCACTGGCATTATTAAACAGAACGTTTAGTTGCTTAAAGCGCATTTTCTTGTGATTACACATGAATGCAATACACAAAGGGTCTGAGAAATATATTAAAACAAACGAAATTGCTCAATCATTAGCAAATCATCTTTAAAAATATATATGCTGTGCCAGTGAATCATTGCAATATTGAAAACCCATGGCATTTACAGTACATGATTAAGATTTTGCTGTGATACCATATCACAAAATTAAGTAGTTAATACAAATGTTTTCTTTTTGGGAGCAGGTTTCGGGTTAATCTATAATAATTTAGTTATATTTTTATATTTAGATTCTTTGTTAAAAAAAGTCTATGGTATGTCACTGTTTATATAGCAAGATAAATGTATGTGTATTGCATGTTTACTCACGGCCGTATCCAGTTCAATTCCCTCTGCACCCTATAAATATGTGCCTTGTTTTTTAACTCTGTGCCTTGTCTTGAGTTTAAAACATGCAGCATTGACACTGCAATTACAGCCTAATAAAACCCTGAAACAATGCCGCTTTTGTTCTCCTCACGCTGATGTGTAATTCAATAATGTCTACATAATCTGATAAATAAAAGCACAAACAATAAACAAGGACTCCTGAGGTGGCAGAATCGACTAGACGAAAGGTTCTCCACAGATATCTCGTTCATACACTCATTTCATTAGACAGTAGCACCAACAAGTTTATCAGAAGATTGCTGGATTTAGACACAGAAAAGGATATATTAGTTGGATAAAAAAAGGGATTGAGTGCGTGAAGGTGTTTGAAGAGCTTCTATTTATTTTAGGACTTTTAATACGTTTTTGCTGCATTTTTTTAATTGCATTTTTGTTTGCATACAGTATTTAGCTCATGCTTTTTTATTATTATTATTATAAGATTCTACTATCGTTAATAATAAAATGCTCTGAAATTATTGCAAATGCTGAGGAAAATGCAAACAGCGTTTAAAATAAAGTAAAACTAGAATAAGGGGCTGTGTGGATTTCTTGAAATGAGCAGTAAGACATCAGATAGATGTAGTTGTTGTCCTGCAAAATATGTAACGAATTCTCTGTGTTTGTTTCAGAAGACAGAAAACTTTTTGTTGGCATGCTGAATAAGCAGCAATGTGAGGACGACGTGCGGCGCCTTTTTGAGTCCTTCGGATGCATTGAGGAGTGCACCATCCTCAGAGGTCCTGACGGAAACAGCAAAGGTTATTGGGTTCAGTCTGATTCTCTCTCTCCCTCTCTCTCTCTCTCTCTATACATATATATATATATATATATATATATATATATATGTGTGTGTGTGTGTGTGTGTGTGTCACTGCTGCATGTTTTAAACTCAAGACAAGGCACAGAGTAAAAAAAAAAGAGGCACATATTTATAGGGTGCAGAGGGAATTGAACTGGATACGGCAGTGAGTAAACATGCAATACACATACATTTATCTAGTTATACAAACAGTGACATACCATAGACTTCTACTGTTTATTTTAATAATAATAAAAATATTATTCAATTATTATAGATTAAACCAAAACCTGCTCCCAAAAGAAAATGTTTAGCATTTTAAAAACAATAATAAAATGACAAAAAACAAGCTTACATTAATAAGCTATTCCTATAGCTTTTGTGATATGGTATCATGGCTAAATTACTATATCTTTTATCATATACTGTAAATGCCATGGATTTTCAATATTGCAATGATTCACTGCCACAACATATATATTTTGTGTATATTTACACACAAGCATTTGTACGAAACTAAAACTAAAATGCCTGCATATAGTTTTTCTTATTTATACATAAAATAAAAAACCAATAATATACAATACAAAAATAACTAAGTTCAAAAAACGGCGTCTTGTCCCAGGACCCAGGTAGAGAAACTCCCAAAAATAAAATATGTTGGTCTCGAAGTGTCTGTTAATGTTGAAGAGGGTGTTTTTGACAGTTTTTCTCTCTTCAGGATGTGCGTTTGTGAAGTATTCCACTCATGCAGAAGCTCAGGCCGCTATTAGTGCTTTACACGGCAGCCAAACTATGCCTGTGAGTGCCAGCACATCTGATCATGCACTTTTCTATCATTAGCTCGTTTAAGGCACAAAGCATCCTCAATTGGTGTGTGTGTGTGTGTTTCAGGGTGCTTCTTCCAGCCTGGTGGTGAAGTTTGCAGACACAGATAAGGAACGGACCATTCGACGCATGCAGCAGATGGCCGGTCAGATGGGCATCTTCAATCCGATGGCCCTGCAGTTTGGAGCGTACGGTGCCTATGCACAGGCAAGAGCTCTCTCTCTCTCTCTCATTATACACTATTTCCAACAAAACTGCAGCATCTCAGTGGAAAAATCTGTCGACTCTAAAGTCTTGTTATACACAGTGCTTTTATCGTTATATGGTTATGTTATCGTATATATATTTCAAGTATCGTGTGTGTGTGTGGGGGCTTTTCTCCGTCAGGTTCAGCAGCAGGCAGCGCTGATGGCATCAGTGGGTCAGGGAGGATATCTCAGCCCTATGGCAGCTTTTGCTGCCGCACAGATGCAACACATGGCCACCATCAACGGCCTCCCTGGGGCTCCCATGACCCCAACATCAGGTGAGGAAACACACACACACGCAGACTTTCCCAGACTAAAGGCCCATTCGCACCAAAAACAATAACTATAACGATAACTATATTAGTGCCCACACCAGCAGACGAATCATTGTGTTTCTACTCAGCGCACACTGCAGTTTTGTCTGCTGCTCTAAATCCTCGAGCTCTTTAAAGTCTGGTGGGTTCTGATTGACTGTCGATTGTTTCATCGTTCATCAGCTGGAAAAAAATCGTTCTGAAGTGATTTTATTGATATTGTTTCGCTGTGCAGCTGTCATAGTTGTGGTATTGACTCTGCTATTTTTTATGTTTAGAACGATTTTTAGATCTATATCTTTATTGTTATATTTATTACCCTTGGTGTGAACAGGTCTTAAAGGGGTAGTTCTCCCAAAAATGAAAATTTTGTCATTCTTTACTCACCCTTATGTTGTTCCAAACCTGTATGAGTTTCTTTCTTCTGTTGAACACAAAAGAAGATATTTTGAAGAATGTTGATAACCAGACAGTTGATGGACCCCATTGACTTCCATTGTATTTTGTATTTTTTTCCATACTGTGGAAGGCAATGGGGTCCATCAACTGTTGGTTACCCTTATTCTTCAAAATATCTTCTTTTGTGTTCAGCAGAAGAAAGAAAGTCATACAGGGTGAATGAATAGAGGGTGAGTAAATGATGACAGAATTTTTTTAATTTTTGTGCGAACTTTTCCTTTGAGTGTTTTAATTATTCATGGCTACCATTTAGCATTTTTCCCTTCTTGAGTCATTGTAAATAAGAGTGTTTTTTTTATTATTATTATTCGTGTTTGCTAAGAGCCACAGATGAGATGGTGTATAAGAGCATGCTCCGTTCAGTAAAATTTTTAACTAATTTATTATAGAAATAATACATGATTATTTATTTAAAACCTTTTGGCATTTCCAATCAGTGGAATCATCATCGTAATGAAATGAAGATCCAAAATGTTAAATATTAGATGCACAAGTAAAACTTGTGTTGGAATTAAAACGTAAAATAATAAGGGTGTGTTTTTCACTAAGTAAACACAAAAAAGAATGAATTTTATTAATGTGTATTATGCACCAATACAACAATACATATAAAAAACAGCAATATTTACCTCCATATATTTTGCCTAAATATTCTTCAAAACTCTCTATTCCCAGCAAAGCCATTACGTATTTATTATGAATATTTAAAATGTTGTCTCCTCTCCTTGGCCCCGCCCCCAGGTGGAAGCACGCCCCCTGGCATCACGGCTCCCACGGTGACCAGCATCCCATCTCCAATCAGTGTGAACGGTTTCACAGGGCTGCCGCCTCCTCAGGCCAACGGACAGGCCCCAGCAGAGGCCATGTTCACCAATGGAATCCATCCTTACCCAGGTACTACACTCTCATCCGCAGATATACAGCAGAATTTTGGCGGATTTTAATAGCGTGGAACCGACTTAAATTATATTTAAAAACTCCATAGGCAAACTTGCAACAGTAAAATACATGACTAATTTTAACACTAACATTTTTCATCATCCTATTCTGACGATTAATGTCAGCTCTGCTTTGTGAATTACAGTATTTCTTGCAGTATAATCAAATTTTATGTTTGCCCATAAAGCATTTTACTTATGTGTTTAGGAATATAAGTGTTCTTCTATTTGATGACTCAGCAGTCTTTTATTAAACACAAAAACATGTTATTAAATATGTTTCTCGAAGCTACTTTATCTGAAAAGTGCATTTGGAGTTGAAATGGCCAGCGGTCGGCTGTCAGCTGTCGCGGTGCGAGTCTGTGTGTTGTGGAGTGGTATTCATGTCCAGTGCCACAGAGAAAAGCAAATGCCTGTCTCCCGGCTGTATCCCAGTTTTGCAGGAAGTGGTGTTTAGGGAAGACTCGGAGAAGGGCGGCCTTGGCGTGGCACAGAGAAGTTGTTTTGGGGTTCAGGGAAGCTGCTTCCTGTCGTCTCTCTCAGAAGGTATAGAACTCCCTCAAACGTTAGTGTCGTATTACTGTGTGTGTTTGGTGTGTGTGTGTGTGCATACAGTTTACGGTAGACAGAGGGAGTGAAAGACGTGAGTAGTTTCTTCATGTTTGTTTGGTGTCGTCAGCTTTGTAGAGTGACTTGTTGTTGTTGTTGTTGTTGTAGTGTGGCTATAGTTATATGTGCATGCTTTGTATTTGGCAGACGCTTTCATTTAAAGTGACTCACTCAAGGGCACGTTGGTGTTAGCTCACACCTTCTGGAGTTCAGTCCTACAACCTTTTAGTTACCAGCCCAGTACTTGAACCATTGGACTACACAACAACCCCCATTGAACTGTGTTCCCTTTAAAGGGATAGTTCATAATTGCTAATTATATCTTTGTTTTCTCGCCCTCATGTTGTTCACGCTTTTTTATACAAAAAGGCCATATATATCTAAAATAAAATATTTTATTAAAATTGCTATTATAATTGCTCTAAAATGGGCATATACATTTCTTTCCAATTGGAGGAAACTTAATTTTAATGAAATAAAGATTCAAAATATTTGATGTAAGCAAATTCTTTACATTTTGAATGATTTTAATTTATATGCACCAAAAGAACTATACATAATTAACAGCAATATTCACCTACATACATTTCTACTCAAATAATAAAAATAAAAAACCCACTATGCCCATAAAACCATTGGACCAACAACTATCACTGAACTGTGGTCCCCTTAAAGGGATAGTTCTCTAAAAAAAAAATGTTTATTTCATCATCATCCTCACTTTCATGTTGTTCATGCTGTTTCATTAAACAAAAGAATATAGTGACATGTATGTAACACAAAAATAGTTTTATAATATTACCTGTAAATTATTCATAAAGCTTATTCAAAAAGTCCATTCAGTGAAAAATCAGCCTAGCAACAAAACAAACATTGCAATATTACAGTAATATTAATACTGAAGTTCTCTGAGGTCATTTTCACTACATTAAATTATTAAAATATACAATGGTGTTAATTGCATTTGTATAAAACAAGAGTGTGTAAGTGTGGTACGAGATGTGAAAGTTGCTTTACTTTCAGTTACCCAGATAAGCGGTCTGATATATAGCATTGCCATGGACAATGGTGAATATTAGGAAATATATGACGTCTTAATGATGCAATTGACCAATCAGAATCGAGTAATTCACTGAAAATCTAGGCCGTGTTCATTTTCTTTTATATTCAAACTTATTTGGAACATGTAAATGATGACAGGATGTTCATTTTTGGCTGAATTCGCTTTACTTTTAACTCTTTCCCCACCAGCATTTAAAAAAAAAGAAGTTGCCAGCCACTGCCAACATTTTGAAAAAATGTTCACAAAAGAGTAATGGCCCCCTGAATATTTTGTTGTATGAATATCTGAACATGCGATATATCAAAACAAATTACTAAGACTCTGCTTTTTTTTTTTTTTTAAAGAAAACATTTTATTATAGCATCATGCATTCTTTCTTTTTTTATCAACACTTGAATGTAAGTTTACTTAAAAAAAAGCAACATTTTGAAAAAAAACCCTGATAAAATTGCATTTTTCCCAAAAAAATACAATGTGCATAAGCAGTGTTTTAATAATTTTTCTGTTCATTTTTTGCCTGTGTTTTGAGCTGGAGATTCTCTGCTCTTTCAGAAGATGCGTAATAGCACCCAGCCGCCCACTACCGTATAACAGTGAAAACACGGAAAGAAAAAACGGGAAAAAAATTCCGTCAATGGCAGCGAAGTGTCTCAGGGGCCGTTTAAACAACACCGTTTTCAACTAAAAACAGAAAACGTTTTATACATTTTGGCAGTTCATTTACATGACAACGCCATTTTGGGGACCTGAAAATGCAAGCTATTGAAAACGGGTATTGTCTCCCACATTTTTGTATTACATGTTCAGTCTATATGCGCGTAGTTTTTCTTTACAAAGTGACATCGCCAACTACTGGCCTGGCAGCACAATACAGCGTTTTTAGTCATTTACGCAGACCGTTGTTGTCTGTACGCGAAAAAGCAAAGTTTTTAGTACAACATTGTCGTGTAAACATACCCTCATAAATATAAGGAAATTCTGTCAATGGCGGGGAAAGAGTTACTCACAAGTTCGTGTTTTAGCAGCGTTAAGTTACCAGGCTGTAAGTATGTGTATCAGTGTTTAGAACAGGAGCGTCACGGGCCGGGGCTGAATTGCCTTTATTACCGTGAAAGCTCTCAGCTGATTGATGTGCCATGTAGAGCTGTAGATCTATATTGTCCTCCATACACTCTCCGGCTGTCTTTCCAAATCTCGGGCAGCGGAGAAGCTTGGCAGGGTCCCGCGCGAGCGCCACGGCTTAATTGTTTGTGGGTGAACGGTGAGGGGGAGGGAAGTGAGGTAAGCTCATTCCCGGCGCACAGCTCTGCCCGAACACACTGAAACGCACTCAGTGACCCCTGCTCTTGTCTCTTTCTCTCTCTCTCTCTCTCCACAGCTCAGAGTCCCACTGCAGCAGACCCCCTGCAGCAGGCCTACGCTGGAGTCCAACAATATGCAGGTCTGTCACTCAAAAGGAGGCTGTTTGTAATTTTCCTGCTTCCAAGTTAATAAAAAGTGCATGCACTGTGTCTACGTGTGCTGGAATAAGAGGTGTGAAGTGTGTGTGTGTGTGAGGTTATCTGACACATTGGCGTGTGTGTGTGTGTCTCAGCAGCCTTCCCCGCTGCATATGGACAGATCAGCCAGGCTTTTCCCCAGCCGCCTCCCATCATCCCTCAGCAACAGAGAGAAGGTGAGTCTGTCGCAGCCAGATATGTCACCTGTGAGAGTGAAAGATTCGACGTGGTCACTCTCTGTGACATTTCCCGTAATTGCCTTTTCATAGATGTTCTATTAAAGTGAGATTTTTATATATCGATTGTTATGTGCCGCCTATGCTCCCATTCAAAAGTTTGGTTCCGCAAGGATGCATTCAATTAATCAAAAGTGACAGTAATAATATTTATAATGTTACAAAAGATTTCTATTTCAAATAAATGCTGTTCTTTTAAACTGTCTGTTCATTAAAGTATCATGAAAAAATGTATCCACACAAAATATTAAACAGCACAAGCGTTTTCAATATTGATAACTATAAATGTTTCTTGAGCACCAAATCAGCATTTTAGAATGATTTCAGAAGGATCATGTGACACTGGTAGGAATATTTTAGTATATCAATGGATCGCATTTCTGGTGTGCTATTGATTACCACAGACAATCATTTTGATTCGTCTCTCACTGCGTGTAAACAAACTGGAAACTGTTTACAGTAAATAGACTTACAATGGTAGCCTAGCAGTAAAGAGTTCCGCAAACCCTACTACAGGACAAGCCAAAATTACAGATCCAAAGACGTTAAGTTTAAGAAATAGCCTAGAATAATCTTTTAAGTTAAATTTGGTACTTTATAAAACATTATACTCAAGATTGTGGTTTCGTCTCCCTCCAGTGGCTGCTATAGTAAACTATACAGAAACATCTTCAACAACCAGCCATGTTCATGATTTGCCAACTGTAGTTTCTCTTCTGTACAGCATGTGTTTGAATGCACATACAGATAAAGTGATTCATTTCTGCAGTTCCCATTGTCTGTTATGCATTATGAAATGTTGGAATGTTTGTTAATGTTGAAGTTATTAGACAGTGATCTACACAGGTTCTTTTTGGATTATAAACGAAACAAGTTTAAAGGGGTGGTTGATTATGATTTGATTCACTTTTCTAACTTTAGTTAGTGTGTAATGTTGCTGTTTGAGCATAAACAACATCTGCAAAGTTACAACGCTCAGAGTTCAAAGCAAAGGAAGACATTTGCTTTTAAAGAAATCGTTTTTGAAGGACTACAACAAACGGGTGGTAGGGACTATACGACATTCCTCCCGGTTAGTGACATCATCACCAACCCTAGAATTTACATAAACCCCGCCCCCGGAACACGATTGTCATGAAATGCTAATCAATGACTAGAAGATATTAACTCCACGTCTGCTACATAAATTCATCAACTAACCATTCAGAAATGTCCTGTTGCATTCTTCTTGAGTCTCTCCATCATTGCCTGACTCCGGTTTGAACATAAAAGGCTAAAAGTGTTTGAAATTTTCAGTGCACGTCTGTGTGAGGTAAAAGGACAAACATGAGCTCTTGAAGCTCCGCCCCCATTGCCAGGAGCAGCAGCTCATTTGCATTTAAAGGGACAGACACAAAAACGGTGCGTTTTTGCTCACCCTCAAAAAGTGACAAATTTAACATGCTATATAAAAATATCTGTGGGGTATTTTGAGCTAAAACTTCACATACACACTCTTGGGACATCAAAGACCTATTTTACATCTTGTGAAAAGGGCATTATACCACCCCTTTAAGTTAATGCAGTATACAAAAGCAAACTAGAACACATTACACAACATTTCTAAAGCCTGAGAAATGATGCATATAAAAGTAAAGGAAAGTGGTAAAGGATAGTCAATTGGCATTGATCAAACTCAATAGCTGACCATTTTGATTATATAATTACATATTGCAGACTTATATCTACAAAATAAATTCAGCAGTTCATTCACGTTATTTTTAATTGCATATCCTTGCACAGACAGTATATGCTGCCGTCATTCCCATTGGATGGTGGTCTGTGGTCTAAGATCAAACTGGGCCTTATTTGTCTCAAGAAATTAAAAACTTTATGATGGGAGGAAGTGCAGTGATTTCATGAAATGTTCAAAGTCAGTCGGGTCTTCTTTCAGCAGAGAAAATCATGACGACAGTGACCCGTGACCTATATTTCTTTGTCAAATCAAGGAGTTTTCTTTACCCTGATGGGAATTTAAAGAAGCCCAAATCTCCAATAATCTTTTGGAAACCAATTTTAGCTCCACTTATTGTTCATTTAAGGCTCAGTTTGAAGGAAGAGCTAATCTAAAACACCTTTTCAAGAGTGCCTGAAGAACCTGGAAGTGGCGCACAGAGCATTTGTTTGTACACTGTTATTTCATCTATACAACTTATGGAGAGAATTGCTACTTTCAAATGCCAGGGCAACTGCTCAATAAAGAGAAACTGTTTCAATAGTTTCTTCTTTGCCAAGTCTAATTTCGCCATTTGTGTCTTTGTTTTGCCTTCTCTCTCTTTATTCCCCTCGTTTCCATTTATTCTTTCTGTGCTACCTGCTCTTTTTCTCTCCTGTCTAACCGCTTCTCTAATCTTCTGTATCCCACAATCCTTCTTGTCTTTCTCTCTCTTTCTCTGTCTCCAGGGCCGGAGGGCTGTAACCTGTTTATTTATCACCTTCCTCAGGAGTTTGGGGACGGCGAGCTGATGCAGATGTTCCTGCCTTTCGGTAATGTCATCTCCTCCAAAGTGTTTGTGGATCGGGCGACAAACCAAAGTAAATGCTTTGGTGGGTAAAAATGATAAGACACCTGTGAAGATTATTCTCATTCCTACTCACACTATTAACATTTTTACCTCATTTCTCTACCACAGCGAAGCTTTCGAATAAAGCCGTGTGCACACTGTGTGCTTTTCGCTACTATTTCGGCATCTGAGATACATTTTAGTGATTGTAGGGCTAAATTAAGATCGCTTAGTATGACATGTTCACGATTGAGGGCGATATATTGCCTTTACGCTGAATATTAGCCTCCAACAAATTTTGGTTCTCTAGAATATCCTATCTTACAGTATTTGGTGTTCCTTTCAATCATATTAGCAAAATGTCCAAAACGCTCTAAGCATTCCAATTGGGGTTAATGCAGTTTTCCATTTTAGATGTGTGTTATTACATGTTTTGTGTGAAAACTGCAATGTAAACTGGTGACACAATCAAATTAGTTTGTACTAATTTGTATATTTTACACCTAAAATGTCACTGAAGTCACATCATTTAATCTGAATCACACGGTGTGCACCTGGCTTAAAACAGAAAAAAAAGAATGTATGGAAAATGAAAGGGGGGAAAAAAGAAGATGTAGTGTAGCATCTTTATGTCTTTAATCAGCGCGGGACATGAGGCTGAAGGGGGAAACTGCGGAAGCGTGTTCGTGTGTCCCGCTTGTGACTAATGTGAACCTCTATATTTTAATTAGCGCTATCTGCAGCTTCACTGGCTCCTTGACTTATCAGAGGCATCCCATGCATGAACAAACACAACACTATTCGATTTCAACTTAATATAAACGCAGTTAGCAGGAGGTGTTTCAGAGACTCGGACGTGATGATCTGAAATGCTGAGCCAGCTGAAATGATCACAATACCTCAAGACAGACCGACGAGAGTGAAAATGAGAGGAAATAATTTGTTAACTGGAGTTTTGCTGATTGAAGCTGATTTACACCATACACCAGAAACGGAAAATATGATAACTACAAAACTATATAATACATAATAATAAATAATGCATTTTTGTCATAATTCAAGCTACCTTTTTAAGAAGCCACTCTACAAATTAACAAACGACTAACAAATAAGACCCCATCAAATCAAAGCTTTGTTTTAGTCCATGTTTGTTTGTCTTCAAGACTATCAATATGCTAGCACACTTTGAAAAAATAATAACGATTCATTTTTCACTACGCAGATTTTGTTCTATAAATTTTTATTTGTCTCACACAGACTTTCTGCTTAAAAAGGGAATACATTAACACAGGAGTAAATCCCTACTCAAGCAGGCGGTTTAATATGGTTTTAAAGTATATAACTTATTAAAAACAGCTTATGACATGGTTGCTTGCATAGTAGAAATACAATTTTCTTTCAAATTTCAGTACTTTTGGAGATATTAAGCTACAGTATCTGAATATTAGCAGGCTAAGATGATGTTATCAATATTTTGGGACCATTCTCCCAAAAGAGAAGATAATAAAATAATATAAAATAAATAATATTATAATAAATTACTAACTATATTATAATAAATTATATGTTAGTAATTGACAATTATTCATTAGCAACAGATGGCTTCAAAGCTAACAGACATTTTGAAAAAAGCTCAAAGCTAAACTACTTTCATGCCTCAAAATGTAGTTAGTTTTTCTGTATTCTCCATGTTATTAACTCTTTCCTTGCCAATGACGGTAATTACACAATGCTTCTCCGCCATTGAAGGAATTTTCCAGCAATCCATGTTTCATCTGTTATACGTTAGGGTGCGCTATTACTCATCTTCTGAAAGAGTACAGAATCTCCGGATCAAAACACAGGCGGGAAAAAAAAGCAGAAACAAGCGATACAAGCATTGATTACGCACATGTAAGCTAACGCGATCATTAAACATTAAATAAATCAAAACTGCCAAACGTTACCGAATGAATGTCGACCCAGGACGAGGTATAGGGATATGCAAGCTTTGAGGCTGTTGATGGATTCAATCTACCCAATCTATGTTTTTGATCATCGTTCTGAATCCAATCCAGACAGAGTTTTTGACAAAAACACGATTTTCTCATCTTTTTGTTCAAAATTTTGGCGGGGAAAGAGTTAAAAAGGACTCCTGGCTAACTTCTCGCTAATTCTAGGAGTGAATAAATATTGTGTTAGGTTTTGCATGTTTTCTGTGCTTCTGATTATTGTGTATCAAATGTATGCTGTTGTATTGTATTGATTGACTTGATTGTGCATATATGTTGTTGAATGTTAAACATGTATCTGGTAAATATGTGTCACGATGACTTAAGTAAACTTGTTTGATACCCTTCCCTCCCTTCATTTCACGCTCACCTCATTCTTTATCATAAAATCATTTCTGGCCTCACCGTGACCCATTTCTCACGCCCCCTCCGACTCCACCTTCCCTCAATCCTATCTAACGTCCATCTGTCCATTGCATTACCTTCTCATCCATCTGGTGCTAACCTGTCGTCCTCTCTGTCTCCATCTTTCTCCCTGCATTCTCCAGGCTTTGTGAGCTTTGATAACCCAGGCAGCGCTCAGGCCGCCATCCAGTCCATGAACGGCTTTCAGATCGGCATGAAGAGACTCAAAGTGCAGCTGAAGAGGCCAAAGGACGCCAACCGCCCATATTAGCCCCGTCCCTCCCCCCAGCCACCCCTGACCCTGGGGGTGAAGGCCGCCGCTGCGCACAGGGAACAACAGGTCAGCCAAATCACCTTGGAGCCAAAAGACACAGACATAAGTGAATGAATTGGTTTAGTTAAAGGGATAGTTCACCCAAAAATGAAAATTAGCCCATGATTTACTCACCCTCAAGTCATCCTAGGTGTATATGACATTCTTCTTTCAGAGAAATACAATCGGAGTTATATTTTAAAATGTCCTGGCTCTTCCAAGCTTTATAATGGCAGTGAATGGCCGTTTCTGTTATGAAGTCCATAAAAGTGCATCTATCCATCATAAAAGTGCTCAACACGGCTCCGGGGGTTTAATAAAGGCCTTCTGAAGCGAAGCCATGCGTTTGTGTAAGAAAAATATTCATATTTAACACGTTACAAAGTAAAATTCTAGCTTCTGACCAAACGGCCATACACAGTCTTCTTGCGGCTAAAGCGCAACATATGACGTCAGAAGTAGCGTAGTGCGTCATGGCGTAGCGTAAATATCAGCTGTACATTGCATTACTCGCATAACTTACGCTTTAGACTTAAGTGTAAACCGTTCATTTGCACAGTTCGTTTGGCCGGAAGCTAGTTATTTTACTTTATAAAGTTTTAAATATCTGTATTTTTCTTAAACAAACGCATCGCTTCGTTTCAGAAGGGCTTTATTAACCCACCAGAGCCGTTTGGAGTTTGTTTATGATGGACTATCCCTTTAAATTTGTGAACTGATTGATTTGAAAAGAATTAGCTCAAAAGAATGATCCGTTCACTGGCATAATTGAGTAAATGATAAAATAGTCTTTTTTCCTTCTGATATGTAGTTTCACTCTGAAATGTCCCGAAATGGCTTGCGAATGTGGTTTCATGTTGACTTTAAGCCTGCTGTATAACAGCATATGATATTAAAAAGGACTGTGACAGAGGGGGAAAGATTAGTCGTCTCCATGTAGCTCATATCATCTCACATCTCCTCATCTAAATGAAGATGGAAAATCAATGCTGTGTCATTAATTTACCCTGCTGATGCCTTTTACTGGGCCAAGTTATTACCTACTTTCAAAGCTAGTGAGCCATCTCCGCCTCTGTAGACGACACAGTACGGCTCCTGCACATCTCGGCACTGACCTGATACATTAAAACTCTTCCAGACAGCCAAAATCATTTTGCTAATCAGTGTTTTTGTCTCGTTTTACGGTAAAAAATATCTAAACATCCTTAATACAATTTAAAAAAGCTAAATTTGAAGAGAATATCTGGACGTAAGATTTGTTTCGATTTATTTTTATAATTAAGAAAATTATTTTTTGCGGTGCATAAAATCACCATCAAATGGTTTGAAGAACAAACAAGAAGTTGCGGATGTACCAAAGGTGCTTTTTAATAGCCTTAGTTTAGTAGCTCTTAATGCAAATTCATGATGTGATTGTACAAAAATCTGTATATGGCATGTATTTATTTTGAACCGTTTTCCCTGAAGAGAAAAATAATTAAATTATATAATTATAATTAAATATAATTTACAAATAATATAAATAATGCATTAATATTAACACATAAAACATCAATAATTATTATAAATAATTACTAACATTATTTATAATTGATCAATTTAAAAAAGTAAAAAAAAGTGTTTTGTCAACTTTAGGACGCCAGCAATGAATCAAAAAGCTAATAGACATGAACTAAAAGCCACAATAAGTGGTCTTCAAAGCCACAGTGAAATGAAAGTAACAACAGATCTTTTCTTCCGTATTTTGAGGTAAATCCATGTGTAACGGCTTACCAAAATGTTTTTGAAAATGTAGGGTGGGGACTTGGTTCTATCCATCAGTTGTTGATTGGATTTTGAGATGTGGGTGTGTGCTAGCTTGCAAGGGAGGAGTTTAAGCAGACTAAATAATTGTAGAAGGCCTGCATACGTCACCAGACGTTTCGCCAATCATTATTACATATTCAGGGTCTTTAGCGACCCGGATCTTTTATTATTTTTTTCTTGTTATATTGTTTAGAATGAATTGATTGAAGAATACTAAGAAGGTTGATGTGTAACTAAAAAATGAATGAGGGGGAGGGTAGTGAATGATGTTCCCGGGTCACTAAAGACCTGAGGTATGCGTTTAAGGGTTAAACGAACCATATGCATGGATGAATTGTATTTAGAATAGATGGGGTGAATTTTCATTTCATGCCGACTTTAAATGCTTCTGTTCTTTTTGTGTTTGCTTCCTAGGTTTTGTAGAGCTGGAACACATGTTGATAACATGCCAAATGTATTTGACAACACAACAAGATCAAGATCATCGGGGCTGGGGATACAGTACAGCTGAAGCAGGACATGAGGAGGACGTAGCCGCGTGATATACCACCACCACCACCACCAGGCTCAATGGACCTCTTTGGACTTCAGTGTTTAACTCAGGGGAGCCACGGTGTAACTGGACCATACCGTACTCCCTTCTCTGAACCCCGAGCCCTTATTTTGCAGGACCACAGGACACATTACTGAAGACCAACACAAAAATATATATATATATATATATATATATATATATATATATATATATATAAAAAAAAGAAAAAGAAAAACAATGTAAGCCCTCAGAAGGCTCTGAATCTACGAATAAGTAGTATGGGGGGATAAAACACTTTTTAAAACTAAGATAGACTTTTAGATGGAAATCATGTAATATTGAACACGTCTTTGGGAAAACTTTTTAAAGAACTGTTTTAGAAACCAACAAAACGGATTAAAAAAAAAAGAACAAAAAAAACTTGAAAGACAGAACTTTTTGGAAGGAAGTGACAATTCAGGACACGAACTTGCTTCGACTCGGGATGGCCGACTTTTTTTCTTGGAGTGCCTGTCCGTTTCCAGGGGCAACGGCTGCCACAAACCGCAGCCTCCGTCCGCTGGGAGACTTACCTGTCATTCCTTAGTTGTGTAGGGACCAAATGACCAAACCTTTTTATCACAAATGAAGAAAAAAAAAGAGAGAAAAAAAAAAAAGACTCATACCTGTAACATAATCGGACCACTGCATCTCTTGCTGTGCCAATCGGTTAGAGTTGTATTTAAAAAAGATATATGTATAAAAAGAACATATATGACTATATGCATACATATAGATTGCTGATATGCTTTTGAATACTGGCAGAACTATTTCCGATGGTCCGTCGAGGCCGCTCACTTCGCTAGTTTACAATTACTGCTCAAAATGAAGAATATTTATTTTTATTTCTCTTCTAGTTTTTCTCTGTGGTGAGAGAAAGGGTGCATGGGAAGGGTTGTTCCATAATGCAGCCTTACCTTTTCTATCTTATGTCCTGACCTTGTAGTTAAGAGACCATCTTAAAGAGGTTTGAGATAAACAATCCTGTTTATATATAACGTACATACGATATGTATATGTATAGCAGACGTTCAAGCAATATGTATTCATATGTATGCACCTGTACAGCATATATATGGATACATACACGATATTAATCCCAAAACCCATATATGTATTTATATGCATATATTTTATATGTGTGTATATATAGAAACCGGCTATTCAATATGTAGAGCTGTACTTTTTTTGTAGATTTAAGCTGGAGTTTGAAGCCTCTGCTCTGCTTTAGACTTTTACCACTGGGAAGAATCTCAAATCGGCAGCTGCAATTTGCAGGCATTCCTCTCGATCCGATATAACGTTCCGCATCCGCCAACACACACACACACACACACACACACACACACACATTCAAAGGTAAAAAAAACCAGATTCAGTTTGTGTATATATGTGTATATGCTACTTACAAATGCAAAAAGGCCTCCTCTCGTTTGAGAGTTTCAAGAGAATCAGGATCATTAGGAAATAGTACAGAATACGGACATATCCGCCCTCCGCCTCTGCAAACATTCGCAAACAAACGACGTTATTCACTCGAACCGAGCGCTGGCTTTATCGGTTTACCGTCGAATCGTCAGCAGTGCGTCCTTGCACCTGGCAGCACTGTGCTACGACACCGCTAGCAGCCATTCATTATTATGATGATGATGTCAAAACAACGGAAACACTCTTCTTCTTAATAAAATAACACTAAGAAAAATAAACAAAAAAGACAACTGCTATAGCTACAGCTAACAGCGAAGCCTTCTAATATTTGTTGACATGACAAACCTGTGCTGTGCAGCTTGACACCGCCATTTACAGATACACCTACTCGACGTTCTGCTTATGGTTACAATGAAGTGGGCATTATGTACGTTTTGCACAAGTATCGCCAGAATCCGCATCACATTGCGTTTACACACGCAGCTTCGGAGTTCTGACTGATTGGCGGGAAGTTTTTCCACGAGATAGGGTTGAGGATGGAACGCGAGAATTTGCCATTGTAGTTATTGCTAATTAAGGATTTTAATTTTGGTTATGCTTTGCAACTGCTCTATTATACAAGATGGCACTATTGTAAATATATGATAATTTCAGAGCTGGTTAATTTGCTTTACCGCAGAGTAAAGCGTCTGTATAGTGGGTGGGGGGGGGGGGGGGAGCAGTAGGCTAGTCAGTTCACCTCATTTCGAAGGGGAATTCAGTTCTGAATCGACGGGTTCCGAGAATGTTGCATTTTGCCTTCTAGATCTTTCCGACACATGATCATTCAGGTATTCCAGGATCGTTTGCAAGGAAATGCATTCCGTCTGTTGGATTTCAGTGTCACCTGTCTTTCTCTCTCCCTTTCTGTCTTTCTGTCTCACGCTCATCAGCTCCCTCCGTGTTAACCGTTTCAGCTGCAACTGTTTACATAGCAATCTGGAAATGTAGAGTTGACAAAACCAAGACGACAGAACAGAAATTTTATTATAAATATATACAAGTATATACATGAACTACTGAATATACTGTAAATGTTTTTGTTTTTTTTCTTCTCTTTTTTGCTCTGTTCCTCTGTATATAGGTTTGCATATTTTATAATCTTTTACTTCTATCGAGAAGGACTGGATGACTAAGAAAATTTAAAGACAAAAAACGAAACTGGATTAAAGCAGGTAAACTCTAGTCCTTAGAGATGCATTATGGTTGTAAGGTATTTAATCACGGAACATAAGAAGAGTCAATCACATTTAATCCAAACGTTTTAACGTCACTTTCAGAACTGCTGCCAACATGCTATTTATTTGCCTATTTATGTACTCATTCGTTCATTTATTCAAATGCCATTTATTTATTGCTTCATTTTAAAATACTAATATATGTATATATATTTTTTTTTTTATCTTTTCAACGGTTGGATTTTATTTCTGTTTGTAACCACACCGAATATAATTTTTGTCATTTAAACGATGCTTTTTATTTATTTTATTTTTTTATATTTTTACATGATTTTGAATTGTGAGACACAATGGAACAATGCAACTGGCAGAATCAGGGTAAACCTTTATGGAGAATGTAGAACTCATGAAGGACTGGTGTGCTGCACCTGTTAGAACTGTCTGCTGTTTTCTTCTGTTCTGCGAGTCCATCCGTCTGTCAGAACAACTTTCTGCTTCACTGCTTTTTCAAACACACTGGAAAAAAGGAAGAAAAACTGCACTAATCCATCAGACTCTCAGCAACTCTTGTTTTATAGCCTTTCTTCATTAGCACTAACTGTCTTCAACTCATCAGAAACAGTCTGAACTTACAGAAACAATGCAGTAAAATGGGGTAAAAAAAAAACAAATCCAGACATTTTGAGCACAGTTGCGCGTGCTGGGTGGTATCTGTGGATTTTTGCCAAGCCTATCACAATGAGATTGAGCTGTATTAGCAGTCGGATTGCTGCCGCAGCTCCTGCCCTGTTCTCAACTACACTTTTCTCTGGTCCCTAGACTCTCTTTTGTAATTTTACTGAATGACGCGTTTCCGCTTAAGCCCAGTAATAAAGCACAGTGTAGAATAAAGCAGCATTATGCTTGTCCCATTTCCTGCTGTATGTCTATACAAGACTTTTTATGTGTTGTTTTTATCTCTTTCTCTCTTTTTTTTATGGATTTGTGGCACGACTGATGTACTCTGAAACCACTTCAAAGGTGGAGGGTTTACATGCGCACACACACACAGGCGCCTCTCTGAAACTTTCTTTACAACACTTCAGATCAAATTAGACCAATAGCCCTGGAGCAATGTTTGGCTGAATCCCATTGCATATACCGGTGCTCCCAGATCTAGTTTGAAGTATCAAAGCATATATGCTGTGTATATTGGAAAAGCAGGGGGATAGGAAAGTGACAGGACACATTTAAAAAAAAATGGGTTACACCCCTTTGGAAAAGAAATATGAATTTGTTCATATATGCAGAAAGTTTGATGACTCCTAATTTTGTGGAAAATGCAGCATTGACTAGAAATGCATCTTCTTGAATAGTCACTCTCACGAAAATTTCTCATCTCATCAGATGATTACACGTTACAGATTGCAGCAACTGTTCTTGAGAATCTCTTTAAACGTTTACGTTGCCAAGTCAGTTTCTTGAAAAGCCTTTTATGGAGCTGCTGCCCAACCATCTGTGACTGAATAAACACCACCATTTATTAATAAACACATTTTATTAAGGGAGAAACAACACTTGAATACGTTAAAAAATTAAGACCATGATTATTTCAAGACACTAAAAAGGCAGAATTAAGAGCACATGAATAATTAATGATCATTCAAATGAGTTTTGTATTCCAACAATTAGCTGCCATTACAACCCTTCAACAGATGAAAAAGATGTCTTCTAAGATCTCGCTCTCCTCCAGGTCTTGCAAAGAGGACCGACTGGGGCCTAGAGGAGAGAAAAGGGTCTTCTGAGAGGACAGAGGGGCGACGAAACTCTTCCGGGACGAGGGGTTGATTCGGTACCTCTCTGGGTTAGATACAGGACTAAAAATGTCCAACAGCTCCATCAAAGAGTCATCCCACCTAGCAATGAGAAAAAGAAACATTTTATACACCAGAACAAAAGTGGACAAGTGGGATTAAAAAGCATAATCATTTACATACCGCTCAGAATGCTGCGCATCCTCAGATTCCCCTACATAAAAGCCACATTGTTGCATCTGACTAGACAACTGAGTTCACAGGCTTTGAAACATGTGGCCTAAGGGTGGGTATGAAGAACAAGCCAGCACAATTTTTTTTTTTTTTTTTCTAGTTTGGAAGGAAAACTAAGAGAGCTGAGCGAGGAGATAAATAAATAAAAGAATAAATAAACAAAGATTAAGCTAATAAAGATTCAACCCCTCAGTCGAGGTGCTTAATAAATTATTCATCGAGTACAGACGTGCACATTTCAGATATAAAACATGAATTCTTAAAGCACGCACCACTGATGCTGCTAACATAATTCACTGCTCATTCTAAACAGCATTGATTTGCATCCAATGCAGCAGAAGGGATGAGTGGGTATTCATAGATGTGTGTGTGAAAGGGATCTCAGCTTCTATGAGAGGCAGAAAACGGTGCCATCCACTAAGTGCCTCTGACATTTGAAAGCAGTATTTGCTTCATGGCCATGATAGTGGTGATTACACAAGACACTGAGAAACATGCCATCCACTATTTCCTTCATGCCTGACACTTTGTGGCTCTGAAATCATAAAAGTATCAGCCAACTACACCAGAAAATGTTTTCACAGAAAGGTAAATAGAAATTAAAGGGTGTCAAATCTTCAAACTTCCATCCTCCTCAGGCAACACATAAGCTCTGTTCCAAAACCAAGTGAGCTCTTTACAGCCTACACCTCTAAAGGCCCCGATATACTTCAAGTGAAATCGAAGAACAAACTGTGCGACGTCATTTTGAACAAAATCAGGCCAAAACTAAGTTCGTTTTGTGTGCCTTTCGGGAGTTCAAAAACTTTCCGGAAAAGTTTGCTCTGGCTGGTAAACACCTTCATACTACCATTGGTCCGTGGCGATGATGTAATAGGTAGGTGCGCCTTCTTTGACGTGGAAATCGTCTTTGGTTCATTTCTTCTTTTCAGTCCATCGAAGTCTGACGTCCGTGAGTAAAAACATGAAAACACCAGAGAGCCGCTTTATAGTAGAAATTGAAGTTGTAATTCTAATCGAAAGAGACACTGACAGTGTTTTTTCATGTTTAATACCGTAAAGCTGCTTGATTTTAAACAATCTATTGTATAAAGTGCTATATAAATAATCACAATGTGAATTTACAGGAGTGCTGAATCACAGAGCTCATGCAAACATATCCACATAGCTATGATCAGATGCTTTCATAACTAATGTTCTCTCACCGCTGTCATTTTTGTTGTGTGTTTATTTTGTTATTGAAAGGAAAGCACGCAGCAAATATTTCCATATTCATCTAAACGTCACTCTCAGCAGTGTGGACGGCTTAGGGATGTTCACTAACAGAATAGACCTTATTCAAATCAGCGTCATCTTTGATTTTTAGAGGGAATGAAAGTGAGACTGTGAGACATAGACATGCATCTCTTCAGTGGGTTGTTCTATTATATAATGTGTTTTTTGATGATGAAACATCTTTTCAAAAAAATTCAAAAGACAAAAAACTACAGGCAACATGAGCCGTAGAAAATGATAAGTGATCTAAAAACTTTCTACAGCTTTTTACAGCGGATGCCAGTGAAAAATGGCAAGTCTATCTGTCACAGCCTTGCTTTCATACCCGTCATGGCGCACTTGGTGCACAAAAAGAACTCCGCCATGAGTATATCAGGGCCTTAAGTCAACATCCTAACTGAAATGTCGATAAGCATGCCTGAGATGCCTTAAAATGCTGACTGGGTAGGCAGCTCACTAGATTTTGGAACAGAGGTGGTAAATCTGTCACTCAATATCATATTCTTGCATTTAAATGTGACACATCAAGACGCGTCACCCAATTTGAGATCAAACGTCACTGGTTCTCAGGTGTCACATAACTGATCGTCACTGACATCAAACCAGAGACATGCGCATCGAGATGCTTTAAAAAAAGGAATGATTTTGAATTAATATTTAAATTCCAGCCTGTTTCTCACTAAAGTTATCGTAGGACTACAGGGAAATATAGTGAATGATATACAGTATGTATGGCCTCATTTTAAGGTGCAGTCACATTAATGAAATTTCTGTCAAATTTCACAGGGAAAAAAGGTACATTGACAAAAATGTAGTGATGTATGATGCACGACTCACAGAATTCACTTTGAAACCAAACAGCTTCCTGTAAAGTCAACTGTGGCCAACTTGAATCAATTGCGAAATCTACATAGGAAAATCCTTGCATTCTTATTGAAATAACTGGATTTCGCCCATGAGAATTTACCAAACAACAATAAATGTGACAGCACCTTTACGGTGCTTCTTTGTCACAAAACTTTTTACATGGAATATTAAAAAATTTGCTGAAAGACTATCTCAAATATTAAGGGTTTGAAACAACATCAGTGAATAAATGATTTATAGACTCTTTACTTTCAGGTGAACTATGCCTTTAAAACCTAAAATTATACCTACTCCTCCCACCCTTCAAATGTCTATTTCAGTTGACCAGGTGAGGACTGAGCAAACTGGTGAATCTCTGCACAGGTAAAGATAAGTTTTGAGGCTGACGGATTGATCCCCAGAGTGTTGAACACATGTTCACACAGCAAGCTCAGTGGGGTTCCTGAGCAACTGTTCCTCATGCTGGGACTGATGAAGGTGCCCTAGCTCTGGAAGACATCCTGCATTGTTCTGCTGCCAAAGATCGGAAACCCCCGGGATCCCTGAGGACTACAGGCCAGTTGATCTCACTTCACACTTTACGAAGGCCTCTGAGAAGCCGGTGCTTAGACAGACCACCTGGACCCACTGCAGTTTGTTAACCACTGATACAGCTCTGACCCTGGACTCTGGAGGCAGCGTCGACCATTCACCATAAACAAACCTACATATGCGGCACTATACTGGCTGTTCTGCCTACTGCCATCAGAAAAAAACTATAGCTTGCTGTTTACTGCCTATATGAGAGATTCTTCATAAGGGACTAATCTGCATACTACAAAAAAAGTTTGATGTAGCGTTATTTGTACTGTATTTAGTATTTATCATCATTTAGAAATAAAAGGCCATTTTCTACCCTGATTTTAGCCCTCTAATTTGAACACTCCGTTGGAAGGGGCGTGTCTGCTGTGAGACTTCAATGTGATTGGCTAACAAATTTGCATATAAAATAAGTATTGCATGTGGAACTCTCTCGAGATTAACTAATCATGATTATGGCATTAAGGCCCTTTCACACCGGACGCGTAACGAAAAAGCGTAACGGAAAAGCGAATAGTTCGCGTGCGAATAGTTCGCGTCAAAACCATTTGCATCAGACGCGATGCGAATTTGCGACGTTCAGAGCTTCAACATTCCAAAACTTTCGCGCCGACAGCTGAGAAAACACGGACACTTCATCATCATCATCATCCAGTGAATACGAGCTTTTCGTTTTCTTTATAAAGACAGAAAAGAAGGTTTTGTGTGCACCCAATCTTAAAGAACAGAGAGTCTGAAGGGGAGTATAATCTTGTAAAGTAGCTAAAACTTTGCCACAAAGAACCGGCCAAAGTAAGGATTATGCATTAAACATTTGAATTGTTTATTAATAAAGTGTCCTCCGTGTCCTAATTATATTGTCTACTATATTTGCTTCTTATTCCTATTAATCCAGGGAATTTGTTGATGAAACATTGATTAAAATTAAGATACAATTTATACAAAACGAAATTCACTTTAAAGAAAGGCTTTCTACAAAACAAAACTTAATAAGTGGTCAAAATTATGTCTGACCCATTCCAAATGTTTTCGATATATTGGGCATCTTATGATCCTTATACTCATCTCATGCGGTTCCCTTTTCATATAGATCATCAACATAGATGAAATGAAAAAAATAGCATTATATTATTTAAACGTATATATGAAACGTATGTTTTGTTTGAGTTTTTTAACTTATAGGCCTATTTAAGCGTCACCCCGCTACGCTTTATTTACGCACATGCTCTGGTGTGTGGCCTATACACAGAACATTCGCGTTCATATTGCAAAAAAAATATGAAACACACAACCATGAATGTTGAAAATATTTCAAATCAATTATTTCCCTCCTAGTCAAAAATATTATAAATCATCAGCACGCACTTCATCAACTCGCCGGAGACACCAACTATCCCAGCTATTTTATCCCATGCCTCGTTCTTGCTGGTAAGAAACACCGTCATGTCATAAATGATAGGGTATGCGTGCGTTGAGATGCGGAATAGGCAATATAAAAATGCTGTCATTATAAAAGGTTTCTAGTTTCAATGTATTGCTTGTTTTTAGTTTACTTCATGTTGTGACTTCTCTCGCACATAATGCTGCTACGTCAGAGCAGCCAAAGCGTCAACAAGCTTTGCCTTTGTTTCCCTGTATGTGATTGGCTGAAGCCTTTTCTGTCGCCGCAAAAGTAAAAAAAAATCGACATCGAAGCGAAAAAGATAAAACTCGTTTTTTCGCCGCAGAACATTCGCGTTCGGTGTGGAAGCACTCATTACACAAACAGCTGATCAAAAAATAAAACTATTGCGCGAATTATTCGTGCGTCAAAATCGCGTCCAGTGTGAAAGGACCTTTACTCCGGTCGCATGAAAGGTTGCAGTGATGAGCATTCTAGCTGATGACAGTCATGTCTGTTGAGCGCATGAATGCAGTGATCTCATCATTGCAACTATTTCTGCACTCTCGTGAATGCTTTCACCATAACTAACAGTGCAAACACGATTTAAATAAGAGATTCATTGTGCAGTGTAGACAGCCTCATTGATTATAACCAGGGGTCCACATAACAGGTGCGCAGGTGCTCAAGATGACAACACGTGACGTTCTATTATACGCTGTTCACGTCCTTAGACTGGAAATTATGAGTTTCTACGGCAAAACTA